TTTCTGCATTCAATATTCCAGCCTTTTTACTTCCAAACCAATCACTTGTTAAAATTAAAGCTGCTGCATCATAATATAACTGTAGGTTTGGAAGTTTAAGGCCTCCTCTTTCTGGAACATCTTGCATAATTTTCATTTTCACTCTCGGCTTTTTCTCGTTCCAGACAAACTTATTAAGTCCAGTTTGCCAAACTTTCAGTTGTTTATCACTTTTAAGCACCGGAATCATTTGAAACAAAAACAGAAATCTTGGCAAAATGTTCATCTTAACTGCTGCTATTCTTCCAAGTAAAGACAGTTGCAGCTTTTTCCAAGTCTCCATGTCTTTCTGGACCTCTCGCCACAACATCTCATAGTTATTTTGAAACAATTTCATGTTTGATTCTGCAACCTGAACTCCAAGATATTTTACCTTAGGTACAATTTCGAAACCTGCCCTCCTTTCAAGCTCATGTTTACGATCTTGTGTCATATTTTTGACTATCATTTTAGTCTTTTTTGAATTCAGTCTAAAACCTGAAACTCTACCATAGTCTTGTATAATGTCGTTCATCAGGATTGTTGATTCCATTGGTTGTGATAGGGTAACCACCAGATCATCTGCAAATGCCTTTATTCTATAATCCTCTTGCCTTATCATTATGCCTTTCAAAATTTTAGAGTCCCGTATTGTATTTAGCAAGACTTCCAATGTTAAAATAAATAAAAGTGGGGACAACGGACATCCCTGTCTTGTTCCTTTTTCAATTTTAAACTCTGTCGTCAAACTTCCATTAATAATAATCTGTGCTTTTTGCTCTTGATAAATTGCTGAGATCGCCTGTATAAATTGGTCCCCAAAGCCCATCTTTTTTAAAGTCTTTAGTAGAAAATTCCAATCCACTCTATCAAAGGCCTTCTCCGCATCCAAAAAAACCAGCACTGCAGAAATCTGTTTATTCTTATCAAGATATTCCAATAAGTCTATTACTTGCCTTACATTGTTCTTCATATATCTGCCCTCAATAAATCCCGCTTGGTCCGCATGAATCACCTTTTGGATTACTGGCATCAACCTGTTGGCTAATACCTTCGCATAAATTTTATAGTCTGTGTTCAAAAGAGATATTGGTCTGTAGTTCTCTGGTTTTTTAGGACCAACTTGTTCTTTTGGTATCAAAGATATATAAGCAGTTGTCCAAGATGGGGGTATTTTACCCCCTTGTTGAATATTGCAAAATAAATCTCTAAGTTGTCCCACCATTTCAGCTTGTAAAGTTTTGTAATACACTGCAGTCAAACCATCCGTGCCAGGAGCTTTGGCTGTTTTTAGCTGTTTTATTGCTGCTGTTATCTCCTCCTCTGTTATAGGATAATTCATTCTTTCCTTTTGTTGATCAGTAATTTTTGTAACTCTCTTATCCTTTAAATATTTTTCTATAAGTCCATTCTGCACCTCTTCTTTGGCATATAGTTTAGTATAATAATCCACAAAAGCTTCTTTAATTAGTTTTTGTTGAAAGATTTCTTTCCCTCCAATATCAATACTATCAATAGTCCGTATACTTTGTTTTTTCCTCAATGTGTAAGCCAACCATCTGCCCGGTTTGTTAGCGTTGCAAAATGTATTATGCTTCGCGTATTGTAAGCTTGTTGCAACTTGTTCCGCCATAAGCATTTGAAATTGGTCTTTCAAAAGTTTTATAGCACTTCGTATTCTTTCATCTGTTGGGTTTTTAATAAGTAACTGTTCTTTATTCTTTATTTCCATTTCCAACTCAGATCTTTTCTTTTGTCGGAACAGTCTATGTTTAGAATTCATGTAGATAAGTACCCCTCTCATATAAGCTTTACTTGCGTCCCAAACAATTTCAATTGGGGTACCTTTATTCAAATTTATTTCAAAAAATTCTTTCAAATGCTTTTTAAGTTCTATTGTATTTTTTTCATATCTAAACAAGTTCTCATTTAATCTCCAAGAACGTCTCTCAACCTTATCCATCTCAATTTCTATCCATACAGGGCTATGGTCAGTCAGAGTTCTTGGAAAAATCTTTGTTCTTTTTGTCTTAACAAGTAGATCATTTGACAACAGGATAAAATCAATCCTAGAAAAGGATCTATGTCTATCAGAAAAGAAAGTGTAATCCAGTTCATTTGGATTATGTATTCTCCAAACATCTTTTAATTCCATATCTTCTTTCATATCAAAAAAAAGTCTGTGGTAGTCTAATTCTAGACTTTGCCAAGCTCTTTTTATCTAGTTTAGAATCAATTACTCCATTCCAGTCTCCCATAATTAAAATAGATCTGTAGTCCCATTGCAATATTTTAGTATGTAACATCTTATAAAAATAATCCTGTTGTTGGTTGGGAGCATAAATTCCAATCAAAAGAATTTGGCCATTTTCTGTGAGCAATTCAATTGCTACAAACCTACCATCTTGATCTGCTTCTATAACTTTCGCTGTTAATTTTTTATTTACATAAATAACCACACCATTCTTTTTCTGCGAAGTTGAAGATATATAATGTGCTCCTAGTTTTGAGTTTATCAAATATTTTTGATCTTGAGTTGTGATATGCGTTTCTTGTAAACATATTATATCATTATTAAATTGTTTCAAATATGTAAATAATTTCTTCCTTTTCTGTGCTGAATTCAACCCATTAGCATTCCAAGATAGACACTTAAAGGTCATCAGCCTCTTTCTGGAGCGCAGAGCAAAATATTTGAAGTTCATCCGAGAGCTTCGATCTCGCTCCTCCCATAGCTCCACTCTCTTGTACGGTACTCTTAACTGCCTTCTTGTCTTGTCTTTCCTGTTGTTGTTGTTGCTTTTGTTTAAGTAGCTTGGATTGAGCTCTAGTTATACGTTGATCTTTAACTTCAGTCAACTGAATCAAATCCAAAATTGGAGAAGAATCCAAGAAGGGCTCACTCAGAAAACCTCCTTCTGCACCTTGCACGTTTTCTAATTCCTGCTTAGACTGTTCTTTCAATTGCCTCTCTTCACTCTCCTTAATCTCCAAAACTGTAGATGTACGTGGAGATGGTGTTCTTTCCTTAAGAATAGTACTGTAAAAGTGTTGTGCCTTCTCCACGGTATTCAACCGATATCCTTCTCCCTTATATCTAAAAATTATCCCAGCTGGTGCGTCCCACCGGAAGGGTATCTGTAAATTTTTCAATTCCTTAACAAGAAAACCAAATTCTTTTCTAGCTTTCAGCATTTTAGGAGGTAATTCTTTAAAAATTTCAAGTCGTGAGCCCCCCACTTGTACAGAAGTGTGAAAAGATTTTTGCAGGATATCATTTCTAATTTCTCTCTCAGTAAAGTATATGACCACATCTCTAGGCAGTTGTCTTTGTCTGGCCACCCAAGAGTTCACTCTGTAAATTTTATCTATTTTATGAAATACCAAATCAGGATTAGCTTGTAAAATCTTAGCCAAGGCTTCAGAGCAAACCTGTCTCAAATCCTGTCTCTCCTCCTCTCGAATTCCCCGAAGCCGTATGGCAAATTCCATCGCCCGGAATTGTATCATAACAATCTCATCTTCAATTCTCTGCATTTTATTGTCAACTTCATCAATTTTATAATCATTGTCTTTCATCTTAACATTAACTTCTGATTTGAATTCTTCAACTTTAAAATCAACTTTCCCAATAAATTCTGCCAGGCCAGACGCCACTTCTGATATTTTTTTGGTCACCTTATTTTGATTCTGTTTCACCATGTCTTTAACTTCATTAATTTCCTGCATAAATTCCTGATGTGATTTTTGAAGTTTATCATCTATCTCCTGTTGAGATTTTTGAAATTTGTCATCCAGAGTTTTAGAAATAAATTCTTTTAAATCTCCCACATCAAATTCTTTTTTCTGAGTTTGTAGCTGTTGAGCAGGGGGAAGTTGCGTTTGATGTTTGTGTGTGGGGGATCCCCCCCCCTAATGCCTTCCCTTCCTGCTTCTTTGAAGCCATCCTGGCTCGTGATCTAGTTTTTCTAAAGAGGGAAGTTCCTTTTCCTTTCCCTCCTGCACAAAGACTTCTAAAAAAGTCCCCCAGATTTGATCAAATAAGGGTTAAAATAAAGCAAAGTCCAATATTGAAAAGGGAAAAAATTTCCCAGTTGTTTCTCTTATAACAAGCAAGGCAGCTTAGTAGCAACTTGGAAACTTTATAACAAAACAAAGTAACTTCACCAATCCACACTCGCTGGCTCGTTAACTCTGAAGCTAGGCGCCATATTTTTTCAAAGCACTTTCACTCACTCGCATTTTCTCAGATTGAAAAGTCAACAAAGTGCTAATACTTGCGTTTCCAAATTTCAGGATTCAGGTAGTTTCGCTGTTTATTAAAACTGGTTCTTTCGCTTTAAGTTTCCTGCAGCCGGCTTGTTCTGCAAAAGCAGAATCGTCCCACGTCGCCCGGAGTTCCAGCAGGTTGGGAGGGAGCCACGCCTGTTCTCTCCCCAGAAACTTCCCTGGGGGGTTACAGGGGCTCAACCTGTGCCCTGCGATCTCTCCTTCTTCAATCCTGTGGATTTAGAAGTTTTCGAGCCGCTTCTTCGTCTCGAAGCGGCTCTACAGGCGGCGGGGCTGGCGGAGCTTCAAAGAGCGCCGCCGTCGCCGAAGACAAGGAAACCGGAAGTGAGTCTCAATCAGATAATCTTAAAGACCCCTTTTCAGGGTACCATAAACACTTATTTGCAATCTCCTGGACCAGCCTTAAGAGACTGCATTGTGGCACATCAATGTGATTTTTCTTAAGTAAATAGCTTAATTCTTCTGCACGCTTTCTTTGTTCCCCAGAAAGCGAGGCCCCCATTACTTACAGAAACCTTTAGAAGGTTGAAGAAGCCACGAAGGCTGACGGTGCACCAGTCCTTGCCGGACGGAGTAAGGGTCCCTGTTCCTCAGGCGCCACTTGTAGAGACCACACACACACAAAGGTTGAGGATGTATGTGGTAACTTTATTGTCTTACATAGTGACATTATATAGTTTGTTACTTTCAAGTTACAGGGTACTTGGCAGCATCTCATTGGCTACAGAATCTTCCAGGTAACTAGAGTCTTTGGTTAACCATTACTGCTTTGCTTAAGCACTTATAATGTTAGACTTTAATTAAAGTCTAATACACATATATCCCATTTCCCCTCCTGCTGTTCCTCTTATTTACAGAGTTAGGGTCTTATCTTCTAATGTAATTTCCTGGTGCTTACGTGCAAGTAACCTTCCTTATCTGAGGTTTGCCATCCAAGACAGGAAAATCCCTGCACATATGCAGATTGCAGATTCCTACAGTTACCCAGTTTGGTAATAAAAAGTTTGCAAGAAAAAACCAAGCTCAGAGAACACCAAATTCAACCCTGCGCTATAAAGATTCTCTTCTATCAGCTAACACTTTCTCCTGTTGTCCCACCAGGAGAGATGCCTCCCTCCGCCATGACTCCATCCATTCTTCTTTCTAAAGATGGGAAGTCCAAGCTAATAATAGGAGGTTCAGGTGGGCCCCTCATTATCCCTGCTGTAGCCCAGGTAAGCCATGAAAGCCCATTGCCTTGTACAAGAGCCGCCCTTGAGGATGGCCCAGGACTTTCATTAATGAACCCCACCCTGCAGAATCCAGTTCAAAGCCTTGTTCTGCAGCTCCCCCCCCCCCCCCCAACTGGTGTTTTTCTTCCATTTCTGTGATTTTCCTGGCAGAGGCTGTTCTTCTCCTCGGCTGAGATGTGGCCAGAGGAAACCTTCACAGCAGCCTGGTGGAATTATTTTTCCCACAAAGGGTCAAGTTTTAGTCAAATTTCTATGCAGTCAAATCCCTTTCAATTACAAGAAAATGCAAACTGCTGGAGGGTGGGGGCGAGAAGCACATGACCTTCTGTGGCTAGATTATCGTCCAGTCTCCAATCTTCACTTTGTGGTGAAGGTTGTTGAGAGTGTGGTGGCGCAACAGCTTCCCCAGTACCTGGATGAAATGGTTTATCTGGATCCGTTCCAGTCCGGCTTCAGGCCCGGGTACAGCACGGAAACGGCATTGGTCGCGCTGGTTGATGATCTCTGGAGGGCTCGGGACAGGGGTTGTTCCTCTGTCCTGGTCCTATTAGATCTCTCAGCGGCTTTTGATACCATCGACCATGGTATCATGCTGCACCGGTTGGAAGAATTGGGGGTGGGGGGCACCGTGTTGCGGTGGTTCTCCTCCTATCTCTCCAACCGGTCTCAGTCTGTGTTGGCAGGGGGGCAGAGGTCGACCCCGAGGCGCCTTATATGTGGGGTGCCACAAGGGTCGGCCCTCTCGCCCCTTCTGTTCAACATTTATGTGAAGCCACTGGGTGAGATCATCCGTGGTTTCAGGGTGAAGTACCATCAGTACGCTGATGATACTCAGCTGTACATCTCCACCCCGGACCACCCCAATGATGCCCTTGATGTGATGTCCCGGTGCCTGGAGGCCGTGCGGATCTGGATGGGGAGGAACAAGCTCAGACTCAACCCTTCCAAGACCGAGTGGCTGTGGCTTCCGGCGTCCTGATATAGTTAGCTGGCTCCATCGCTGACTATTGGGGGTGAGATCTTGTCCCCCTCAGAGAGGGTTCGCAACTTGGGTGTTCTCCTGGATGCACGGCTGTCCTTGGAAGATCATATGACGGCTGTGGCCAGGGGAGCTTTTTATAAGGTTTGCCAGATACACCAGTTGCGTCCCTTTCTGGACCAGGATGCCCTGCGCGCGGTCACTCATTTTTATTTATTTTTTATTTTATTTTATTTTGAATTTGTATACCGCCCTTCTCCCTGAGGACTCAGGGCGGTGAACAGTCAAGTAAAAACATCAAGTACAAATATTAAAATACAGTTAATATATATATATATATAAATTTGGCCCCATTAATTAAAAACAATAAACCAAACACTTAAAAACACTTAAAAAATTAGGCCAGCCCGGCTTGCTGGAAAAGGAAGGTTTTAAGGGCACGGCGGAAGGCACTGAGGTCTTGGATTCTCCTTATCTCTGGAGGCAATTGATTCCAGAGGGTAGGTGCCCCCACAGAGAAGGCCCTCCCCCTGGGGGTCACCAGCCTGCACTGTTTGGCTAATGGCACCCCGAGGAGGCCCTCTCTGTGGGAGCGCACGGGTCGATGGGAGGTCGTCGGTGGCAGCAGGCGGTCTCGAAGATAGCTAGGCCCTATGCCATGGAGCGCTTTAAAGGTGATAACCAACACCTTGAAGCGCACCCGGAAGACCACTGGGAGCCAGTGCAGCTCGCGCAGGAGCGGTGTTACATGGGAGCGCCATGCTGCTCATGCCCTCGTCACATCCCGTCTGGACTACTGTAACAGTCTCTACATGGGGCTCCCCTTGAAGAGTACTCAGAGGCTCCAACTGGTCCAGAATGCGGCTGCGTGGGTGGTTATGGGGGCGACTCGGCACACCAACGTAACACCTCTCCTGCGCGAGCTGCACTGGCTCCCGGTGGTCTTCCGAGTGCGATTCAAGTTGTTGGTCACCACCTTTAAAGTGCTCCATGGCTTAGGACTGGGGTATATACGAGACTGCCTGCTGCCAGCAACAGCCTCCCACCGGCCAATACGCTCCCACAGAGAGGGGCTCCTCAGGGTGCCGTCAGCCAGACAATGCCGACTGGCGACACCCAGGGGGAGAGCCTCCACAGAGAAGGAGGCACCAGCCGTCTGGAATGAGCTGCCTCTTGAGATTTATCTCATCCCCAACCTGCGTACCTTTCGCCGCGCTTTGAAGACCCTCTTGTTCCAACAAGCCGGCCTGGCCTAATACGAATTTTAGAATGGGTGTATGTGTGTTTTAATCTATGGGCCAAATTTTTATATATTCAATTTTAAATTGTTTTAAATTTTGTATATTTATATGTGTTTTAATATGGCTGTACACCACCCTGAGTCCTTCGGGAGAAGGGCGGTATAGAAATCTAATAAATCAAATCAATCAAATAGACATTGCATTTCAAGCAAGGAGAGAGCTTGGGGCCAAAGACTACCTCGATATAATGTAAATTAATTGCATCCCCTGAATTGCTCCCCATGACTATTCCTCAGCTTCCATGAGGATCCTCCTGGCCAGACGTCTCTTTGGTGGGTTTATCAAAGGACTCTCTGTTGCAGGCCATTGTCAATAAGTTGTGGTTTGGGTACGATCTGGATCAAGCCATCGGAGCGCCCATCCTCTCTGCCACTGGAAGTGGTTCCATTCAAGTGGAGAAGCAGTTTCCACTGGTGAGACGCTGACCTGGTTCTTGGCTCTTCTCTCCCTCCCTCTTCCTCCTCCCTCCCCTAGCTTGGTGGTGGGGATCTTGTGTCCCACACAAATGTTCACAGCAGCAAGGCTGGGTGAAAACAGTCCTCTTGGAGAAGAGAACCACCCCCATTACTTGCCAGCCTTGGTCAGATTCTTATTCCATGAAGGCCGTGTGGGATTCCTTCCCGCGTCTCATTGTGCGAGGCCTTTTTTGGGGGGGAGGGGGGAAGATGCTCATGGAATTTAGCTATTTTGCCAGCTTCCCAATAAACCAAAAGAAATAGAACCATCTAGTGGTGAAATTCAGCCAGTTCTATCCGGCTCAGGCGAACCAGTAGTGCTGGCCGGCAGTGGGAGGCTCCGCCCACCTGCCTGGCTGTCATCACGTCCCGGTTTTGGCCCTCTGCGCATGCACAGAAGGCTCTGCGCATGCGTGGAGGAGACGCACTTGCTCACACTTCTGAACCGGTAGCGAAGGTAAGTAAATTTCACCCCTGGAACCATCCCTTCTGCCTTCCCCCATCCCTCAGCAGGGCATCCTCTTTTCTTCTCTTAGGTTAAAAAGAGAAATGGAAGATCAGTCATTTGCTTTGGGAAGGATGGGGTGAAAGTGTGGGGAGACAACTGGGACACAGAGGGAAGAGGGGGCCAGTTGGAGGCTTGGATGAAGAGGTTTTCAGAATAGCTTCTTTGTCTATTCCTCGGATAGAAAAGTCCCTGATAACTTCAGAAACTTCTTTTGAGGTACTTTGGGCAGCTCTGCACAGTCTCTTCCTGGCCCGGAATTCCCTGCCCAGCTGATCTTCCCAGACATTAGACTGTCCAAGTCCTGATTCTGGGATTCACCACAGTGGGTTTGACAGCCACCCCATCTCTGAAAACCCCCAACAAAGCAGAATTCACCACTTCATGAGGCAGCCTGTTCCACTGGCTAACGGCTTGTACTGTCAGGAGGCTGGTCCTGCCCTGTGAGGCCAGGGATAGAGAGAATGAGCCTCGTGGACCGTTCTGCATCTGCCCAGGAACGGCCAGCCCAGCCTTCTCCTGAAGGGCCTCCGGGCTGCCTCTTCCCACTTCCCAGGCCCCCATCCTAACATGATGGCCCACAGAGCTGTGCAGGCTGCCTTTGAAGAGGTTATGTGGGGCTTGACGTTGCCTTTTTTTCCTCTGCAGAACCTCACGACGGCTTTGATCACCATGGGGCACTCAGTGCACACTGCACAGCATGTCATGAATGTGGTGCAGGGCATCTCCCAAGAGGGCTCCTGCATCTTCCCTTATTCTGATCAGAGGAAGCGAGGAGAAGCCTCCGGCTACTAGAAGCCAGAAGAAGCTCTGCTAAACTCTGCGGCAACCTGGTCTCCTTCTCTGGCGGTTCCACCATCGGCCTCCACAGAGGCTGCTGCAAAGAACTTGGGACGCATTCCTTTGCAAACCACACGCACACACAGACCAAACTGGGATCTACATTTCTCTCTCCGCTTATCTTCTTGCTGCAACTGGACTTTATGTCCACACATGGGCGCGACATTCATCCTGTAGAAAATGAGAAGCTGAGCCACAACTCTTGTCTCCCATGAGTCCAGAACCTGAGGAACAGGTGTGTTGGGCTAAGCCTTGTTGGAATAGCCTCTTCTCTGTCCTGAATCCTCTGTCTGTGGCTGATGGAAGCCAAGGATGCCCAGGAAGAAAGACTGAGACTGGCATCACTGAGCCTTTGGTATTTGGTAAGAACCCAGGAATCTCCTGGAAATCCCCTTCTGCACTGCAAAGCGAGTTATCCGAAGAGAGAAGACACGCTGCAGCTGGTGTGATGGAAGCCCTTCCAAGCTCAAGGCTTTGGAAGAAGCTTTTGCCTGGCAAGCAAATGAGCTATTGCCCAGGGGACCTGGGGCAACCCTCTCCCCCAAGAGTTGAGTAGGGCCTGCTGCCAAAGCTGTGGAGAAAACCCGGGAGTCATTAACCTTTGATGCAGTTACCTTTTGTTTCAGGCTGGGGGGGGGGCTGATTGCCCTGAGCTTTGCCCTCCACCCACCCTGGGCAGACCAAAGCCAAAGCCACAGCAGGAGCTTTTCCTGTTCTTATTGCTGAAAGTGAAAGTTATGGTTTGTTGTGTTCCCACCTGCTGATTGTTACCGTGATGGTGCGGGGAAGGAGTGGGAGGCAAAGAATGGGGGAATTCCACTAGGAATGGGAGAGTCATTCTGGATTATGAGCTTTTTAAAAAAATTATTTCTTCACGCAGACATTTGTTCTATATAGAAAGTTTAAAATATATTTTCGCAGATTATTTGTGGGTCTGTTTCTTTTCAAATTTCATGGCTTTTCTTTTTGTTTTGAAAGCCTCCGAAAACAAAGACATATAATTTTATGTTGATTTGTTTCTGGAGGGTTTTCAAGGATTTCATTTTTTTCCACTTTCTTTGGTCACAGCACCTCTTGACAAGCCCATTCCAACCGCCCTCCCCTTCCAGGGGCCAGCAGTGCAACATGGGCAGCTTTCCCTTTGGCCCCTTTGGCCAGGCGATCCGGTGTTTGTCCTTCTCAGTGGGACACCAAGATTGGGGAGCAATGGGCAGCTCATCCTCTGGGGCTCCAGTTGGCCAGCCTGCTCATTGTCTTGGTTCCAAACACATCTCTACCCACTTTTGTGCTGGGAGGCGCTTGGATTGCACTCACTTTTATTGGTTTTCTTGATCCCAAAACGGGTACTGTGTTTCCAGAAAGCCCAGTTTCTAGAAGACTGCCCATCCTGATGCTGAAGGAATGAATGCAGACTATGAGAAACCCTGTAATCAAAAGAAACTGATTATCCGTCTCCTGCACAGCTGCATAATTTCTGGTCTCTTTCAGGTAACTGAAGAAACTTCCCTTGTTTTATTGCCCCAACCAAATTCCATGGATTTGGATTATCTTCAGCAAGTTTTCCTCTAAAGAAAATCTCTGAATTAACCTCACCTCATTTTTAAGGAGGAGGAGGATAATTAAATTTGGGCTACATAATATGAAAAATAAATCATAGTGTCAACTCTGCCATCCTTAGTCAAAGAACCTATCACTTTCACCAAATGGGAGTCGAGAGTCTTCCTTTCCTAGGGACCTAGCTGGGACAAGACTGACACATAGTCTCATTGAAGTTTCCTCCTCACACTGAAGAGAGGCATTGTTAAGTGATAGGTCACATTTTCCAAACTGGACCTCCCAGTTTATCTGATTAATGGTGAAGCCATGGCAGGAAGTGTTATATGACACACAAAAACCCTTTGAAAGAAACAAAATTTAAAATTATACAGAGAAATAGATGAAATGCAACAGCCAGAAAGTCCCTTACTTAGAAAATGATCCATCAGATGCCCAGCATAGAACGGGGAAATACCTAGTTGGCCACAGACTTGCCAAAAACATGTTGAAGCTTGACTAGAATCTATACAAAAAGGACATGCAGTTTTAGGCTGAATGAATAAGTAGTTTTCTCAATGATGGGAAGTAATCATTTGGTTATATCTGGGGCATGAGACTTGAGAAAGGAATGAAAATATTAGAAATACCCTTGTTATATGTAGCTATTTTGAAGTAATTTTCTTTTTGACCCTGGCTCCAATTTGGTTGGCACTAACCCTTTGGCTTCTGCTGTGGGTGGGTGATGCCTGGCACTGGGAACAGCCTGGCCCTCTAGAGTGCAGCCCTCCCCTCTCTGGGAGCTGCCTTCCAGCCCACTCTGGCTTGGGGGAGGGTGGATCAGCCCCAACAGTAGCTGGGGCAGCCGAAGGGGGCATGGCTGGCAAAGGGGACAGAGAGGTCTGTCTCTCTCCCAAGACCCAAGTCTTCTCACATTCCTCCGTTTGTCTTCTGAACCAGGATCAGAAAGTGGCCCCGTTATCAGGTTTCCTTGCACCTGGACAAAACAGGTGTTTGCTGACAGCCCACGTGGAGAGCATCTGCTTCTCACCCCACCCAACAGTGACATTTGGAGGGAGGGGAATTCATTACTCCTCTTCTGCTGGGTGTAGAGCACCACCTGCTGGCCCATTTGGGAGGGGCCAGTGGAAGCAACCAGGATGCCTTTTCTGCTGCCAGAGACGCCAAGCTACAAAAGCCACTTTGGGTTGTCTGGCTTTCTCCAGGAAGCCTGGATAGCAATTCCTGCATTCAGCAGGTGATCTACCAAGGAAGCAATGAACTGTGGATCCTTAAGTAATGCCAAGGACAAGCTGATGCCAACAGCTGGATTCCCCTTCCCCCCATATCTCTACATCTATAGTGTTTGTCAATGAAGCAGTGTACAATGGTCCCATGGTCATCTCATTATCCAAGTTCATTATAAATCTACCACACACCCCACATTGGTGAGAGACAGAATCACTTGCTCCAGAGATCTGTAGAAAGTGGTGAGCCAGTCAAACGTGGACCTTCTGAATAATGTGTAGCTGGCCAGCTCAGTATCCTGCTGGAAAGCCCCCTTTCCGGGAATCGGAGGCTGCAGCCCAACCATTTTCAGTCCAGAGAATGGCCTGTACCACAGCACCTTCATTGGTCCTCTTGACTTCGTGTTTCCTTTTCACCAGGTCTTCTTCAATTTCCTAGACCCAGGAAGGAAAAACCAGGTTACACACCATTATCTTCAAGAGATCCAAGAACATTTTCTTACATCAGACTCTTTTGCCTTGGGGGGCAGAGATGATTGTGCTCAGTCAAGAGACAGCTGCTCCCAGGGATGTTCTGTCACCTGTCAGATGGATTGGACAACTCGGAAAGCATCTTGAGCTAAAGGGAGTCACTTCACCCAACCTGAGACTCTGCATGTCTTTCAGAATTGTAGCCCTCTGATTCCCCAGCTGCCCAACTGCACAACAATGTGGCAGAGGTGGGAAAGACACTCCTGAAAAAGAACCCTTCCGCTGTTGACCCCTTTGGGCTAAACCCCAACCCGGCTCCTTCCGTTATTAAAACAGACCTTTTCCACATCTTTCTCCAGAAGTGTAGCCGGGGGGAACAACTGGTTATGAACTCGCGGCTCCTCCACAGCAGCCTTAACATCATAGCCAAGCCACAGGGCATTGATGATGGTCTGCACAAAAGAAAAGGTATGGGATTAGGTCTCCAAGCATCTCTTGGCAGGACTGAAACTGATGTTCTTTCCAGGGATCCATGAATCCAGGATGAGCTGGGAGAGACCAGAGAGGAGCTTTAGCTGCTCAGTAAAATGTCTGTCTTGCCAAGGAGCTTTGAGATGTACTTGATCATTGCTTTAACCAACAACTGTTTCCCCCAAGAGGCTGAGTGCGAGATAGATAAGAATGGAAAGCTCAATGCCACCAAGAATTTCAACATGGGGTGAACTGAAACTTTTTTCAAGGTTTGTGATTCCAATTTTACGATTCAAACTTTCAATTTTGGGGGGCTTTCAAATCCAAACATAACTTTAGATGAGAGACACCTGTCAACCTTTTCTCTCCATCTTCCTTTCAACTTCCCCAATTCACAGGTGCAGCTAAACCCAAGCATAGATATTCATTCTATGTCAAAGAGCACAAAATTGATGTAACTATGGGGGTTAAATGTCCCTTTCCCCCCCCCAGAAAGACAAAATTTAGCAGCGCTTCAAAGATGGTCTGTTCAAGAACCTGAGTGAAAACCTGGTGAGCATCTCCTTTGGAAGTCACTTCTCTTTCTTTCTCTCAAGCACTGCATAGATCTCCTTTACTGGATCTATTCAATCCCATTTGCAGACCTCAAGTAACCTCAGTTAACCTTCTCTCCTATTGCCAGGCCCTCCTTAGGGGTCCTCCACAGTTGATTTATGAAAATCTCTGGTCCTGGTAGGCACATTGCTATCCCCAGAGGAGAAAAGGAGTCATAGAGGGAGATGCCCACAAATTGCCCTGGTGCCCATGAGTACTGCCTGTCCCCGCTTGATAGAGAATCTACAGGGTCCAGGGTTTCTTGAAAGAGCAAGACGAGGTGGTCTCCAAAAACATCCCTCAGCCTACCCAGCATGACCCACCAGGGCTGTTGCTGTTGTGATTTTTGTCCCTCCAGAAGCACCGACCACCATCCTGACTTTGTTCTTCTCATCCACCAGGATAGTCGGACACATGGATGAGAAAGGTTGTTTACCTGTTGGGGATGGAGCCAGGTGAGATGCATTGCTGGACACGATCCTTGAACCTGCCACTTAAACCACTAGCCAGTATAATTGTAGTAGTAAATATCCTGTGAACTATGGGCTGGTTCCAATCAGCCCTTCCTTTGCTCCTGTACAGATGAGAGCACATGAGAGGGGTTGGCCAACCAGCATCTTACAAATGTAACTTCTCCTTGCAAGAACGGCTGGTTTCATCACCCTCGACAGAGTCCTTGCTATGTTTCTACAGATCTACAAGGCTCCCTTCTCTCAGGCCTGCGACAGAGCTCCCCTTGGGCAAGTCCACAAGCAGGGCTTCTTGGTGCTGGTCTGGATGGCAGGGACCATGGCTGAATTAAGCAGTTGGGGTTCACCCTTCTCTGCCTGCTGTCATCCCAGATTCTGATGCAGTGATTGGGTGATTGGGTAAGAGCTGATCATACAGGCTCAAGTGGAAAATATTCTGAGCACTAAATCCTAGAAGAAACAGGGAGGAGCCCTTCCCACAATCTTCCCCTTGGCAAGCTGCTTTCTAGGCCATTTCACAGCGCTGTTATCCCTCACAATGAGTCTCAGATACAAGCTGAATCCCCCTGTTTTTGTAAGCAACACAACTTAGAGGGAATCAGGGAACCCTCTAGAGGGCATTGCAATCAACATAAAGAAGCGGTTATTCTCCCTGAATCAGGGAAAATCTCCCCTGCCATAAAGGGAGAAATGTGATTCCCATGCTAGAGCAACAAAGGAACCATGGAAAGGGGTCAGTCTGTGTGTCCAGGGGTTCTGATGAAGGGGTTCTGGGAGAGAACCCCTGGATGGGTTCTCTCCCAGAAAACCCTTGGAGGGTCAGTTGGACTTGGGAGTCTGTGCTGTAAGTGGGGCTCAGACCAGCAGTGGGTTCCACTTAGTTTCGCTACTGGCTCAGAACTGTGAGCGCTTGTGGCACGTCTGCGCATGCACAGAACCTTCTGCACATGCGCAGAGCATCCATGATGATGTCCGGGCGGGTGGGTGGAACGTCCCGCCGCCGCCACTACCAGTTCACCTGAACCGGGGCGAACCGGTAGAAACCCACCCCTTGTTCAGACCTTCTGAAAGACCAAGCGAAGACAATAGCAAAGGCATTTGTATGGCCTGTGAAAAGTAACCATTGCCAGAATATTGGGAAGAGAAAAATATCTGGAAAGGAATTAATGGGGGGGGGGGATAAGGACAAAAATAAAGCTCAGAATGCGGCTCACGTCGGCAGTGAGTGCCTGAAGGAAAATCTCCAGAGCTAACATAAGATAGGGCTAAGAACAATGTCTCCAAACATTTTTTTTCTACCAGTATTATTCTGATCTGTATAAAAGACCTGTTATCACCTGGAGAAAATAGATGAATATCCCAGAGAGCAAAAGGATTACAGGTGAACAAAGGGAATTTATGTAGGGACCTCTAACTATCAGAGAAATCTCAGAATCAATCTCAGAATCTCAAACAGCAAACCAGGAAAAGGGCTTGGAGCCTCCAGGCTGTATTATTATTGTCAGACTCCAGAAACCAATCTAAGCAGCTTCCTTTATGGTTTCTCATCTCTAGACAGGTAAGATGAGCAGCCTATAAATTCTATGAATAAATAAATAAATCTGGCCCAACTCCAGCAGCCTCCTTGTGCCATTCAAGAGATCCTCCGGGAACTCCCAAGGAGGAGCTGTTCCCTCTCTCTGACTCTTGTCTTCCCCCTCAACCTCTCTCCACTCTGCCTGGAATGTGGCCCCTCCCAGCTGGGAAGCTGGACTGCATTCCCAAGATGGCTGCCATCTTGACTCTTTTGACCACACACTGCAGACACCCATGACCCCTGGGAGAAGGGGAATGGCAGTCAGCTAAGTCTGGCTCACTCCCTGGAAGCAGCGGAGGCCTTTCCATGGATTGCCTCTCCTTCCATGGCTGCAGAGGCGCAGGGAGCTCAAGGGGGGAGGGGGGATGCAGAGGCTGCCTAGAGGAGACCCTCCCCAGAGAGGGGTCTGGAGTGGGCCGGATGCTTTGCTCAAGCAGCAGGCGGAGAAGTGCACAAGCAAAGCCTTACCTGGGGCGATGAAGTTGGCCACCGAAGGGGGGACCCCGAAGCCATTCACTATGTGGGGGGAGCTGAAGTCATCCATCTCGTTGTTGAAGATGATGCCATTCACAGGGGAACGGAGGTCGGAGCCAAAGCTGCGGAGGTGGGTGAGAGAAAGGGGGTCCATACAGCAGCTCCTCTTTGCACCCAGCTTTCCTGCCACCCGTTCCTGGAAATGTTGAAGCTCCGAGGCCACAGGGGTCCTACTGCCCCTGCACAGAGCCCAGGCATCACCAGCCACCAGCTCCCAGAAGGAGCTGCCAGAGGCTTCTCCATCCAAACTTAGCAAAGCGAGGCTGGTGCAAAAACCGGATTGACTGGCATACAAAGGCCTGGGAGACGTAGGTGTTTCAAGGCTTGTCTAGAGGGGGAAGGAAGGTAGCAGAGGGGTGGGGCCGTGCCAGGACATATCTGGGGAAGGAGCATGTCATGCACCCCCAGCCATTTCAGGAAGAGGGGCAGGGGAAAGATTGTGGGGAGCAATGGCAGATGGCACAATGGAAGTGTGGCTGTGAGGAGGTGGGCAGGGAAAGCTGCCTTTACCTGGCTAATAAGGGTAATGGCAAGCAAATTATTGGCTAATAAGGGGATGGCAAGCAAAGATGGGCACCCTCCAGCTCCGGTTGGGGGCTCTTTGGAAAAAACAAACACAACTAGCTCTCGCCAACAAAACAATAGAACAACACTCCTGCTTGCACATGCATTCACACACACAGACCCCAATGCCATCCAGAAAGATGAACGCTCAGATCAAGATTTGGGTGGGCAATCGTCCAGGTGCTATGGGGCCAGTTCCCTTGGCTTCTCTCCAGCCTCCATGGGCCACTCCCCCTTCCCCGGCTTCGGGAGCCTGGAGCTTGTGGAGGAAAAGCCACGATTTGGAGAATGGTCCTCCCAGAGCCCCTCAGCCCTGACCCTGCTGGAAAAGGCAGCCTCTGAGCCTGACTGAGCCCATCTCCAGCAGCCATTCCATCCTGAAGTCTCACTAGTGGTTGATGGTGCTGGTGGCCGAGACCGCACTGCCATCCTCAGCTACGACCGAGACATGGGATGTCCCAGCAGGCTCCGGAGTGTAGTAATCTGGTTCATAATAGCTGATGTTATGGGTAGTGTTGGTGATTTTGACCCGCAGGCTGTTGGCAAAGGACTCTGATGTCATGTTTCTGATCACCTAGATGGAAGAATGGAAGAGAAACCCTACAGGGAAAGGCAAGTGATAATTCACAGGCTGATGGCCTTCCTTGGGTTTTTCCTGAGGAACTAATGTGATGGCCAGCTTGTCTCTCAGCTCAGGACCCCCAGCAAAATACAGCGGAGTCACTCAGCTCTGTTCAGCTGGGAGGAAGGTAGGAAAGGAGCAGAGCAGGGCACGGAGCTACCTCTGTGAGGTTGACAAACGCAGGGTCCCCAAGTAAACTCCTCTTGGCGTAGGCAAAGCGGAAAGCTTCCAAGATGCGATGGTACATCCAGCCTTTCTCTTCCGGAGTCTGGGTGCTGTTCTTAGAGAACCGGAAGCCTGCCGGGAGATCGAGAACAAACATCAGGCATGTCAGGGTCCATCGGCCACCAAAGCCAGAGGTTAGACCAGCCAAGTGCTGCCATTGGTAGCTCAAACTTGGATGAAGACAGTAAGTTGATGCAAGTTTTCCATGAGATGGTAGGAAATGATGGTTGTAACAAGGATTATCTGAAGCAAACCTGGCTGAGAAAGATGGGTGTGGGAGGGAGGTTGAAGAGGAGTGTCCCTGGAGTCATTGGGGAAACCTGAGGAAATGCCAGAAAGAGTATGTTAGTGTCTTGGGGTTTTCCTGGACTCACAATTCCTGCTGGAACACCAAATTGGAGCCATAGCTGGGAGCTGTCTTCATTCAGCTCTGACCGGAAGTGAAAAGTAGCAGCAGTGAATGCAAAAGTGGATTTGTGAGGCTTCTGACCTGAAAAAGCACAGGTAGAAATGGACAACATTTGGGAAGTGCAGTGTGGCTGCTCCCCTACATTCGCTAAAGAAGACATGAATGTTTATTACACCTTCTTTGATTTAGAAAACTTACACAATAAATGTGAATTATGGAATATTTTAGGTGAATATGGAGGTTGGTTGCTGTAGGGGATAAGTGAAACGTGACAAGGGGGAAGCCTGTGAAATGAAAGGAAATGCCAGAGGTTCAGCACGGAACAGAAACGGAATGGCATATGGCTGATCTTGAGGTTTGGATAAAAGCACAAGAAACAGTAAGGGGGTGAACGAGCTTTGGGGTGGGGCTACAGGTGTGTGTGTGTGTGTGAAGGCAAATGGATGTGCCATAGAAAAGAAGGGATCAAAAGGTCAAACATCAGAGGGGCCTGAATGGAAGCAAGACCAGCAGGAGAGCACATGAGGAATCCCAGGCTCTGCTGTATATATAGTAATATACCATACCTTGCAAAAGATTTCTGAAGGAATCCACTGGAAGAGCCTGGGGAGTGTATAAGATTGATGGAATTGAGCAATATCCCCCCCTGGAATTGGAACATTTCTTAAATGGGGGTCCGGGAGGTTTGAAGAGGTTCATGGAGTAGAAACCTCTTGAAGCACCAATTTCATTTGGACCATTTCTCCCTGAGTGGAGTCATTTAAGCAGCCAAAATGATGCAATGCCTTCAGGTAAACCTCCCAAACAGAAGTGCAAAAAATGCAAAATAATTTGGTTCATGTGATTTGCTTCTTTTCTCCATTTCTGCCTTTGGGTGGGTGGGTGGGCAGTAGCTTTAAAAAACCATTGAGGCCATCTAAAGTTATAATAAAAATGCAATTAAAGCTAACACAAACCAAAGCTCCGTACAACCGAGAAATCAAGGTAAAACCAATAAAAGGAACAAGGAAAAGTGATGAGGCTGGCAGTGAAAATGCCCTCAAAAGGCCAGCAGATAAGGAAGGAAACCTTGCCTGGCAATACAGAAACATCAATGAAGAGGGATGTGAAGCTGCCAAATGCATCAATTGGCACACACAGTTCCCACCATGAGCTCTCCGGGTGGGATGGGACATTTCTGGTGGCAGCCAAAAAATGTTGTTGGGCTCAGCCCCCTACCTAACCCTCCTGTTGCATATTAAATAGGAGTGGTCTGCCGCCAAACTGGCACACTCCGGTCCGCCAAACTGGCATGAAAATATTCAAATCTGATTGGCCAAGCCATCTGACAGCTCCCAATAAAAGGGCAAGATGTCCGATGAGCTGGCTGCTGGGTTTCACTGTTATATTAATAAAGAGCTGTTGTTACTGAGAATTGTCCTGCCTCTTCCATCGACCTATCTAACACTGGCAACGAAGGTGGGATTGGAAGAAATGCAGAACAAAAAAAGCTGATCAGAGCCACCACTGTAGCCAGAGGAATAGAGAATCGTCTAGTGGTGCAACCGAGCACGTCCTGTTTTGGGCCAAAATGACCACCCTCGCTCCTCCCCCACTGTTCAACCCAGCCACAGACCAGTGGGACTCGTACATGCAGAGATTTGAGTGTTTCATGGAGGCCAATGATCTTCTCGGTCTCTCGGACAACAGGAAGAGGGCCCTCTTCCTCAATTATTGCAGATCTGAAGTCTTTGACACCACGAAGGCATTGATCACGCCCACAGTCATATAGGCAGGAGCCTCGGCAATGCTATAAAACATGCTTCAGGCACATTATGCACCAGTACAGTCAAAGTTTGTGAGAAGGCGCAAATTTCACCGGAGAATGCAAGAAGAGGGAGAAACAGTTAACCAATACATAGCGACATTAAGAAAAGCTGCAGCATACTATGAGTTCAGGGAGCTGGATAATATGCTGTTAGAGCAAATTATTACCGGAGTGAGGGACATAAGCTTGCAAAGGCAATTGTTAGCAAAGCCTAACCTCACTCTGCAGACTGCACTAGATGAAGCCAGAACTGCAGAGTCATCTAGCAAGTCAGCGGCAGCGCTTCAAAATAATAGTAGCTCGCCAACTTTGCGCCAAAAAACTTCTGTGCATTGAGAGAATGACGAACACAAGGACTCAACAGAGGAGGAAGATGACATATGTCGCCTCCGGGCAGAAAAGAACAAAGTCAACCCTGAGTCTGAGGACAAGCAGCCTCCCTGTACAGGATGTGGGGGCAGATACCCTCGGGCAGCCTGTAGATACCGAAATGTGACATGCCAACGGTGTGACCATAAGGGACATTTGGCAAGGGTCTGCCATGACAGCCAGCCTGCGATTTTCTGGACAAGACAAACACCCACATCACAGGGAGCCAGAAAATCGCAGCCCTGGAAGCCCCGGCAAGGAGGGGAGAGACCTACGGAAGCCAAGGATGCTTACCAGACAAGCATTAGACAGGGCAATACAAATAAGACCAAGAAGCTACATGTCATGGTCCGGATGGAAATTGACACCGGGTTTTCCAGATCGAGTTCAAAGGATTGAGAATTATGGTTGTCGGCGGCCAGTTACCAAGCCTGCTTGGGTTGGAGTGGTTCAAGGCCCTAGGAATGGGAGTGACTGGAATAAACGCCATTGCCAATGACAGCGCAGACAACCTAACCTGAGAATTCGAGGACGTCTTCAGCAGCGGCTTGGGCAGCGCAGACAACCTAACCTGACAGCGCAGACAACCTAACCTGAGAATTCGAGGATGTCTTCAGCAGCGGCTTGGGAATGCCTATAACTTTCAATTTAGACCCAGGTATTGCACCAATCTGGTTGAAACCGTGAAGAGTCCCCCTTGCCCTTAAACCAAAAATTGATAAGGAATTAGATAAACTAATTGGTCAAGGGATCCTTGAACCGGTCGATCATGCCCGCTGGGAGACCCCTATAGTCACGTCGATAAAGGCTGACGGTTCAGTCTGCATCTGCACAGACTATAAGTGTACACTCAGTAAGGCCTTATAGCAGAGCACCTATCCTGTTCCTATCGTTCAGCACTTGTTACATTCATTAGGAGCAGGAAATACGTTTGCTAAGCTCAACCTGGCTCAAGCATACCAACAATTGCCTGTAGATGATGCGACAGCTGAGGTGCAAAAAATAGTAACTCACAGAGGGGCATTTAAGTGCTGCCGTCTACAATTTGGTGTCAGCGTGGCACCAGATCTATTTCAGAGTTTAATGGAAGGATTATTACAGGGTAGTCCCGGGGTAGTATCCTATTTCGACGATGTCCTGGTGTCAGCTACAAATAAGACTGAACTCACCAACCGACTGAATCCTAACGCGATTCAGAGAAGCTGGATTAAAAGTCAAAAGAGAAAAATGCCAGATCACTGCGCCCAGAGTAGAGTTCCTAGGGTATCTGATCAACGGTTCGGGGATATACCCCACTGACAGTAAAATTAAAGCAGTTCGGAATGCCCCCACTCCTCAGAATAAAATGGAATTGCAGGCATTCCTGGGTTTGCTAAATTTCTATAGCATTTTCCTACCACAGAAAGCAACAATAGCTGAACCGCTGCATAGACTCTTGGGGGGAAAGGTTGTTTGGACCTGGGGCCGGGCTGAATCTACCGCTTTTGCTGCTGTGAAAAAACTATTGTCCTCTGACAGCATGCTGGTTCAATACAGCAAAACTTTGCCCCTAGTCCTGTCCTATGACGCCTCTCATTTCGGGGTAGGGGCAGTCCTTAGCTATTGCATGCCCAATGTCACGGAGGCACCCATTGTGTTTTATTCATGGACCTTGTCCTCTGCAGAGCGTAACTACAGCCAGCTGGACATAGAAGCGCTGGCTGCGGTTGCTTGGGTCCGGAGATTCCATGACTATCTCTATGGGAGAAACTTTGACCTCATCATTGACCATAAGCCCTGCTGGGCTTATTGGCCGGTGACCGCCCCACACCATGGACATTGTCCCCTCATGTGACCAGGTGGACTATTTTCCTGGCTGCTTACAGTTACCAGTTGGTCTACCAACCGGGCAAGTCCCTGAGTCACGCGGACACACTCAGCCGTTGCCTGCTACCCGAACTATTGGAGGACCCTGCCCCTGCCGCCATGGTTCTCCTCATTAAGGACATTGCAGCAGGCCCTATTACAGCAGCCGAGATTGCGCGGCTCTCATATAGAGAGACTCACTTGAAACAAATTTTGAACTATGTGTTAAGGGGTTGGCTGACCACTCCCATGAAGGGAGAATTGCAACCGTATTATATGCGTCGAACCGAATTGTCTGTAATGAAGGGTTGTCTGTTATGGGGGGAAAGGGTGGTCATACCCCCCAAGTTACAATGGGGAGTGCTGGAGGTCTTACATGTAGGACATCCTGGAATAGTCAGGATGAAGGTGTTGGCTAGGAGGTATGTCTGGTGGCCTAATATGGACCGAGATATAACAGAATGGGTTGCCACCTGCACACCTTGCCAGGATTCCAGACCGGCACCTCCCTCTGCCCCTGCTAAAGAGTGTGGAAACACCCAAGAATTCGTGGTCCCGGGTGCATATAGATTTTGTGGGACCAGTAAAAGGGCAAACGTTTCTGATTGTGGTAGACGCTTACTCGAAATGGTTGGAGATATTTTTTATGCAATCCACCACAGCAGAAGCAGTAATACGAGTATTGAGGAGACTGTTTGCAATGTACAGCCTCCCTGATCTGTTGGTGTCAGATAACGGGCCACAATTTACAGCTAATCAATTTGAAATGGTCTTAGCCGAATGTTTCCACATGCCCTGGTTATCCCATTCCACCCGGCCAATAGTGGACAGGTTGAGCAGATGGTGAGATCGACTAAGGAAGCCCTTTCATGAATGGGCCCAGGCGTTTGGCAAGCCCGAATAGATTATTTATTTATTTGTTTGTTTGTTTATTTATTTATTTGTTTATTTATTTATTTTTGTCGCATTTCTATGCCGCCCAACTCCCAAGGGACTCTCAGATAAATTCCTGCTAGTCCAACACATCACCCTGAGTGCTACCAGAAACAGAAGCCCAGCTGAGTTACTCATGGGAAGAAGGATCTGATCTCAATTAGACCGTTTGCATCCCAATTATGTAGTCGAAACTCCTCCCGACTCAACTGGGAAAATCAGATCCTTTGAAGTGGGAACTAAAGTATATGCTCACAATTATGCCAGGGATGCCCTCTGAGTTTCTGCATGGGTGGTACAAATGACTGGCCTTCGCTCATATAAAGTGGAGCTGGAGGACGGCAGACTGTGATCATGGCACTTGGACCAAATCTGAGGCCGTCTTGAACACTCAGCACTGAGGCAATCAGAGATAGCCTAAGCAAATAAAGACCTAACTCCTAGAGACCCCAGCCAACAAAATAGGCAGTTTCCTAATTCTGACTCAAACACGATTGTACAGCGGGAGCACTCGCCTGAGGAACCAAGACTCCAGTGGAGACTCCCGGAGGGGATGGGCCTGGAAAACCCAACCACGCCTCACGACGCAATCCAGATTATTCCATTGGCGAATGCAGAGCCAGCAGCAGGGCCATCCATTCAGGCCACCACCCAGGAACCAACTGACCTGCACAGGTCAACTAGGACTAAACAACACCCCACCTATCTACGTGACTATGTTTTGTGTAACTGTTGATGATTGGTTATTGTGCTGTCTAAGAGGGGAGGGGTGTTACATATTAAATAGGAGTGGGCGTAGGTTACACTCCAGTCTGCCAAACCGGTGAAAAAATGCTCAAATCTGATTGGCCAAGCCGTCTGACAGCTCCCAATAAAAGGGCAAGATGTCAGATGAGCTGGCTGCTGGGTTTCACTGTTATATTAATAAAGAGCTGCTGTTACTGAGAATTGTCCTGCCTCTTCCATTGACCTATATAACACCTCCCCCCACCAACTGTTCTGCATTTCAAACCTTGGGGTCCTGTCCTTGTCCTTAGCCCCCCCCCCACTCACCTGCCCCAGGAGGGATTGGGAAAGTCAAACCACCTTAGCAGAGCTTCGGAGAGACCGAAGGCCTGCTGCCCAGATGGAAAAGGAAACAGCACAAGCCGACCTAAGGGCATCCACAGGGAGAGAAAGTAGACAGAGAGGCAATTTTAAAATATCTGGCAGTCCATCCAATTGAGGGACACCCTAAAAACTGTGCAAAACAGCCAAAGAAAACTGCCTGTCTCCAGATCAGAAGACGGCCCCTTTAACCCATTGGGAGTGGAATGGAGGGACCTCTGGGCTGAAACCAACAGGGTGCCACTTCTTGGGGTAATCCTGTTGCAGCATTTTTCATAGTTCATAGTCCCATCGCGCCCCCCCCCCCCACTTATACTGTTGAAGCTGAGTTGGCATTCCAGTTCTGGGGGCAATTTTGCAACCCTCCCAAAAAGGGAATGTCCCAATGAAACCGTATAAATATTAAAGAGGTGGAAGAATCCTGACCTTTCAGGATGTTGAGGATCAGGGCCAGCACAGGACCACTTAAAGGAGCACTGGGCACATACATGCTGAATTGGCCAAGTTGCAGTTTTAAAGGATTTTCTTCCAGGGTTGGTCGGTAATCCCTCAGGTCCTCCATGGTAAGGATCCCGCCTGCAACAGAAGGAAGGTAATCCTGACAACTGGGCCATTTAGAGATGATGCACAGATCCCCAGCTCTGGTGTGCCCACTGCCAGGAGCCCTGTCTTGCTCACGGGGGAACATTACCACATGGCACCCAGATAAAGGGAGAAGCGTTGGGCATCCTCTCCCAATATTTAACAATAAAAGCACATCTTCTAAGCTTTATCTGCTCTTAACTTTCATTAATTTTAATTCTGGTTTGATTTGTATTCTTGAACTTATATCGTGTATTTTTAATGCTCTATTTTGCAGATGAGTCTGAAAGTGGGGTGAAGCCCTTTCCAAGGGCTGCAGAGGGGCTCACGCCAGCCCTCACCTCCCACAGGGAGGGAAAGAGTTTGCAAAGTTGGTGCCCACCCTGGGAGACACATTTTCTAAAACTCTCTTGAATGCTTCTGACTCTCAGCCATTTGGTTCTAGTTACCAGGCTACTGAGACCAAATATTAGCTTTCTAAGTTACTAAGATGTGCTTTGAGGTTTGGAGGGCTCCACAAACCAGTCCGGCTTCTCCAAGGAGGATCGATTATCTGCGGTCTGAGCTAGAGAGGCAGCAAGCCCCTTCTTGCCCCATATCAGAAAGTTACTGCTACAGTTCAGATGTCCCATGGCACCTGACTTCTCAGCTGACCTGCTCTCTCCAAAGTGAGTTTATGCTCCAGGCCAGGAGCCTTCCTTTCAAATTTTCAGCCAGTTTCTGAACAGTATTTCTTAATTTCATCTATAGGTATTTGAAGTGGCTTTCTGAATGCCATCTCAAGATTCTCTTTCCACCACCAATTCTTGGAAGCTAAAGTACATAGAGCCCCACAAAGGGGCTTCCCAGAAGCATTGATGGCAGTACCAACAATTGGCACCAGAGATGTTGACAGTCTGCATTCATCACTGCAAAACAAATGTTTCCCTCTCTCAACTATGGCATTTAGGATGACTTCCAAAGGGAAATATAATCTTAAATGGTGTAAATGTGATCACTCCCGGATTCTTATATCTTCCACAGAATTCCCTCACCTACAATGCCTGGCCCTCTGTGGCTGCCTGCCATGTTCCCCACCTTTGGTTCACCCAAGAATTCTGCAACTCAGCGGCATCCTTTATTTATTTATTTATTTATTTATTTATTTATTTATTTATTTATTTATTAATTAGATTTTTATACCGCCCCCTCTCCCGAAGGAATCAGGGCGGTAAACAGCCAAAATTAAAAAACATACAATATAAACAATTAAAATACGTTTAAAACAGAATTAAATCTAAAATGGCTCCCCAATTTAAAACGCCTTACCCATACCCCTATAAATAAGACGAATTTAAAATTTAAAAATTTAAAATTTCCACATTTAAAAAGGGGGAAGATTTAGGCCAGGCCAGCTTGATAAAATAGAAAAGTCTTAAGCGCGCGGCGGAAGGTACGCAGATCCGGGATCCTACGTATCTCCGGGGGGAGCTCGTTCCAAATCGTAGGTGCCCCCACAGAGAAGGCTCTCCCCCTAGGGGCCGACAGCCGACATTGTTTGGCCAACGGCACCTGGAGGAGCCCCTCTCTATGGGAGCGTACTGGCCGGTGGGAGGCTATTGGTGGTAGCAGGCGGTCCCGTAAATAACCAGGTCCTAAGCCATGGAGCGCTTTAAAGGTGATAACCAGAACCTTGAAGCGCACTCGGAAGACCACCGGGAGCCAGTGCAGCTCGCGCAGGAGAGGTGTCACATGGGAACTCCATGTCGCTCCCATCACCACCCGCGCGGCCGCACTCTGCGCCAGTTGGAGCCTCCGAGTGCACCTCAAGAGGAGCCCCATGTAGAGAGCGTTGCAGTAGTCCAGACGAGAAGTAACGAGGGCATGAGTGACTGTGTGTAGGCCCCACAACGCTGGACTCTTGTCAACCCTCCTAGCCAGGGGTGGGTTCTACTTACCTTTACTACCATTTTGCATCGTGCCTGTGCATGAGTGTTTGCTTCGCTCACGTGCACGCGTGCTCTTCTGCGCATGTTCAGAATTTTCTGTGCATGTGCAGATCAACTTTGATGATGTCCGGGTCAGTGGGCAGAGCCTCCCGCTGGTTTACTACCAGTTCTTGCGAACTGGTCCAAACCGGGGGCAACCCACCACGGCTCCTAGCTAAACCAGATAGGAAACCCAACCAGGTGAGCTAAAGCTCCCTTGCTGTAAGACTGCATGAACAAAATCTTGCAAGTCGGAAGATACAAACTTCCCTCCGCCACAAAAGTATTTGATCCATTAATGCAGATCTATTTCTATGTTTCTTTTTCTGTTCATTTTACTTTAGCCCCTGGGGACTCCTCTCTCTTTTGTCTGGTTGCTTCCTAGGCAGCTTCTTTTCCCCTCATCCCCCAAGGACACCCACATGGTCCATTACAGTTCTGTGGCAAGGCCAATTTGCAGAGTGTCTCCCCCCATGCCCCCAAGACAGGCTACAGGGCAGTGTCCTCAGCGGGACACTTTTGGAGCAAATATCCCCATTTATTATAATTTGCCATGGAACAGGTTTTGCTAAGTGGGTAGCAGAACACCCCCCCCCAGAAGGAGGGACTTTGATATGCGTAAGCCTTCCAGTGGGATAGACCCAACACTGAGTGCAGGGCTGCAATCAGAACCAGCAGTCCCAGCACAGCAGGACAGGACCAGCTGTTTTGCTTAAGCAGAATAGGCAGATGGTGAAACCAGCCTCTATTGGCTGCCTGTATTGCTTGGGCTGTGGAAATGCTTCCAAAGGAGAAAATGACAACTGACCCCCTGCTTTGTAGATAGTTTGCTGCTCACCTGCATTTTGGATCTCAGCCACCATCTGCTGTGCCAGGTTGCCAGTGTAGAAGGCATCCGCGCCCTGGTTGGCGATGGTCTCGTAGGTGCTGGCCAGTTTGGGCAGGCGGAGGAGTTGCTTCTCCTGCAGCACCTTCCCGCTTTTGCAGAAGACCTCACTGAGGACAAAGGCGTTATTGGAGAGAGAGCCACGAGCTCTGCCAGAGTTTCTCAACTTCAGCAACTTTAAGAGGTGTCGACTTCATCTCCCAGAATTCCCCAGCCAGAACTGTGGAAACTGAAGTCCACACTTCTTAAAGGTTGAGAAACTTCCTGCACCAACTCAGAAAGCTCAGGCTGCCCAAAGATCTGCTGATTCAGTTCTACAGAGGAATTATTGAGTCTGTCATCTGCACCTCTATAACTGCCTGGTTTGGCTCTGCAACCAAGCAAGACAGACACAAACTTCAACAGATAATTAGAACCGCAGAAAAAACAGTTGCAACCAGCCTGCCTTCCATTGAGGACCTGTGTACTGCAGGAACCAGAAAGAGGGCCGTGAAAATATCTACAGAGCAGGGGTGAAATCCAGCAGGTTCTGACAGGTTCTGGAGAACCAGGAGTGGAAATTTTGAGCAGTTTGGAGAACTGGCAAATACCACCTCCGAGTGGGGTGAGAATGGAGATTTTGCAATATCCTTCCTCCAGGAATGAGGAGGGAATGGGGATTGTGCAGTATCCTTCCCCTGCCACGCCCACCAAGCCACTCCCACCAAGCCAATGTGCCCCATTGAGTTATGTTATCCCAGATAGAGAGCCACAAGTGAGCGCAACCTCCCCCCCCTTTTAAAAGTGAGTTCACGTTATACTTTTTCCAAATCATGCCCCTTCTTAGGATGGGTTTTTGTGTGGAAAGAAAATTAAAAGAAAACAAAGCCATAACTTAGATCATGTCAGGAGTCATGCGGCCCCTCGTTCTCACTGTAAAAGTTAGCAGGAACCTGCTTACGAAACACACACGATTGGCTTGATCTCAGCTTCTCCCTTTCCTGCACCTCTTGTCTGCTGGTTTCTAATTATCTTACTCCATAAGAGGCAGAATTAATCAGTGAACAAACATGGGTGTCTCTACGGCCTCAAATTCCAGCCACACATGGAACCGTGACAGCCTCTCACTGCCACGTATCCTATTCTCTGTCACCCGTGTTCCAAGGGCCTCTCGTTAGCCTCTCTCACCCCAATTAGCAGAGCTGAGATGCTGACTGGGAAACCTTTGTGGCTGCAGTGGAGATAAGGAGGCCACCTCACCCTTCTGCTGTTCAAGGAATCTTACAAAAAGGAGGTTGTTGGGGAGACCCCGAACATGGCCCCATTCAGGAACCTGAAACGCCCAATGCATTGCAGCACTTTTTCATGCTGCTTCCATATTTAGACACCAAATCCTAAAATGCCACCAGGAAGCAGCAGAAGCAGCCAGATGTACTGGAAGGGAGTGGTCACCTTAACTGGCCCTAGACAAAGAGGAAGGTTTGACCTGCTGATAAAAGGCTTGTGGGGCCAACACTGGGGATGGTTCTATGGGGAATGTTGCAGGAGATCTTCCCCAAATTGCACAATGGTCTTGAAAGGGCCTTCCCTTCAGATTTTGGGCTCCAGCCTAAAAAGAGGTATTCGTTTTACAAGATCTTGACCATCACTGGCCATGACTGAGAAGCCCTCCTTCCTTCCTTCCTTCCTTCCTTCCTTCCTTCCTTCCTTCCTTCCTTCCTTCCTTCCTTCTCATTCCCATCTCCCTCCCTCCCTTCCTTTCCAGCTGGTCCCTGAGTTGACCTAGGTAGCCCTCCCCCCTGCAACCTCCCTCGGGAACTTCATCTTGAGAAGAGTCACGTCTTCCACCCACCCACCCACCCAGCAGGACATGCACTGCCTTGAGCTGAGGTGCTCCCTGCTCCTACCACAAGGACGGGATGCTTTCAATTTCACTGCTCCTGGACTCCAGGGCTTTGGCCAGGCCTTTACCAACAGGGAAGCCTTCTCTGGCTAACTGGATGCTGGGCTGAAACAGCTCCTTCCAAAGCAGTTTGCCATGTCGTCGGTGGGCCATTTCATAGCCACGGATTTCTCCCGGAACTGCAATGGACAATCCACCTGGAGCAAGCAGAGGACAAAGAGATCAAGACTCCAGCCAATCCACTCCCCTATCATCCAGGACCATCAACATAATTTTGTTTTCCACCCATAATCTATTTCCTCCTTCGCTATAAACTGAGTGCCCAGAGCTAGATTGCAAGAGTTATTGACTTAGGCAATGCCTTCTTCCTGTTGACCCCTGTTCTCCACTGAGTTTTGTGAATGTCCAAGAAAGAAACACTCATTTTGAGTAGAGTTTGTAGGTGGTCATGTAGTTTGTGGGTAGACATCTTTACAACTTGTACAATCAATAATTATGCCAAGTCTATGGTTTTAGTTCTTAGTTTGAATTTTCAAGGCCAAGAATCATAGGGCTAGAAGGGACCTCCTGCTTAGTGCAGGGTCCCCTAGAGCAGTGGTCCCCAACCTTTTTATCGCCGCGGCCCGCTGAGCGCACGCAGGGGTGGGGGCACGGCCCAGGAGCTTTTGTGCACGGCCCATTGCGCACGGCCCAGGAGCTTTTGCGCACGGCCCAGGAGCCTTTGCGCTGCAGCGTTCATGTCCCCCGGCCGCTGCGCGGCCCGGTGCCAGGTACTCCACGGCCCGGCACCGGTCCACGGACCGGGGGTTGGGGACCACTGCCCTAGAGACTCTCTGATGACCACCCAGCTTAGATAACAGGCAAGAAGCTAAAGTGAGTAGATGCACAAGACCACAGAAGACCTGAGATCCTTAGGGACCTTCTTGCACACAGTGTGTGGTCCTTGCCAGCCAAGCCATTCCACACATTTCTGAGCCTGGTCACCTTCAGACTCTCTTGAGGTTTATGGACCCTTGATCCCAAGCTCATGAGGAAATCGCTCATCTGTGCAGCCAGCCACTACTGGTGGTGTGTGCCTCTTGCTTTACCTTTCTGGGACACAGCAGTGTTGTTGCCAAACATGTCTCGGGATGCATTCTTGGGTGCCACTTCCCTGGCATTAATGATTTCCACTTTCCCTTGGAAGGTAAGGAACAAGATAAGGTTCTGCTGCCTCCCTGTTGGCAAGTCAATGCATAAACCTATCCAGGCTTTCTGAGTGATATCTTCAAGGCATAATTCAAAGAAAGGTTAACTTTTCAAGAACAAAAGTTATTATGGATGCCCCACCTCTATGCCGGTTCAGCAGTCAGTCATCACCTATTTCTCTGTACATCCTTTGACATTGACCTCACTCCTATTTTTTGAAATAGAAGCATTACCAGTAGTTTTCGATAGCTAAGTAGTCATTTGGCCCAGCAGACATATCTGAAATATGACAGCATTTTATGGGCAATGTCGCCAAACAGGAGTAGGAGAGGTCTGTCACCAAAATCTTATTTATTAGAAAAGAAGAAGGCCAGATGGCTCTACTCCTCCTGACCCCAGGCCCACCCCTACCCCCAACCTTGTTCCCAGAAGGAATTATTTCATGTTCCAGATAATCTTTTGTGTGAGTGTGTCTCTGTGAAAAGTCAGACAACCTTCTAAGCTGAGTAGGGGTTGAAGCACCCAAGTTTTCTCCCCATACCTATGGAAGCAATTTATATTCCTGGAGCATCCTTGAAAATAGTTAAACATATGTAGACTCTGGCACTTTGCTGGCAGCATGCCAACTTTCCCTTATCTTGGTGAACATTAACCCAAATGAAGAAAAGTCATCAAGTATCTGAGGTTACTTCTGTGAACTCATATGCTGTACTATAAACTCACAAATCCTTTCTATTTCTAATTATTACGGTGCTGTGCACAACCTATTTTAACATGCTGAATAAGGCAACCATTCAGGAGATCTCATACAAGATCCTAGCATGGCTGCCTCTGTGTGTGTATTTTTTTTTTTTAATTTGATTTATATGCCGCCCTTCTCCGGAGACTCAGGGTGGCTTACAATGTGCTCAGCAATAGCCTTCATCCTTTTGTATATTTATACAAAGTCAGCTTATTGCCCCCACGACTGGGTCCTCAATTTACCTACCTTAGAAAGGATGGAAGGCTGAGTCAACCTTGAGCCTTGGCGAGATTCGAACTCTGCAGTAATTGCAGGCAGCTGGTCTTAACAACCAGCTTAATAACAGGGTGCCTTAAACCACTGTACTACCAAGGCTCTTGTATTGGCTTATCACTCCCACTTGTTTTCAGAACATGGTGATTTTACTCTCCATGCCAAAAGCAGGCAAAGGCCACCAATCAGCAGAGCTGGAAAGTCCAGTCATGTCTTCCATGACATCTTCTGGAATCCCCACACAAGGCTACCACAGCTCCTGCCCTCCTTACCCTCTGTTGAGAGGATGGTGAAAAAAAGGCCTCCTCCAATGCCCATGCTGTGGGGGTTCATCAGGCCCATACACAGGAGACTGGCAATGGCAGCATCCACAGCGGATCCCCCTTTCTGAAGGATGTCCCTGCATGGTGAAAGATAAACATCGAGTGAACCTTCCCAGGACAGAGCTCAAGGCCTGGGCAGCAAGGAGACAGAAGGAGATCACAGCTGGCCAAAGGAGTTCCCCAAAACTAGAAGATTCTCCCAATGGTCTCATGAAATCCAAGACTAGCAACCATGCAGAAGTTTGGAGATGCTTGGAGCCATAGTGGACAATCACTTATACATGAGCCAGCCGTGTGCTGCAACTGCCCAAAAAACTAATGCAATCCTTGGTTGCCTAAACAGAGGGACAGAGTCAAGATCACATGAAGTATTTGTACCGCTTTATAAATCCTTAGTATGACCACACCTGGAATAGTGTATCCAGTTTTGGTCACTACATTACAAATAAGATGTTGAGACTTTGGAAAAGGTGCAGCAACAAAGATGATTAGGGGTCTGAAGGCTAAAACATATGAAGAACGGTTGCAGGAACTGTATGTCTAGTTAAATGAAAAGAAGGACTGTGGGGGGACATGACAGTGTTTCAATATCTAAGGGGCTGCCACAAAAAAGGGGGTAAATCTATTTTTCAAAGCACCAGAAGGCCAGACAAGAAATCATGGATGGAAACTAAGGAGAGAAGCAACCTAGAACTAAGGAGAAATTTTCTGACAGAGCAATCAACCAATGGAATAGCTTGTATCCATAAATTGTGGTTGCTCCATCACTTGAGATTTTTAAGAAGAGATTGGACAGCCATTTATCCAGAATGGTATAGGGTCTCCTGCTTGAGCAGGGGGTTGGACTAGAAGACCTCCAAGGTCCCTTCCAACTCTGTTATTCTGTTCTGTTCTGCTGCTCAAGAACTTCTGAGGCTGCATCTAGCCAGTTGCTGGTGCTAAAGCAAGCCAGACATTTTTTAGTTTTGTTCAGGCTGCAGGTCTCAGATCCAGCAGTGACTGGTGGAAGAAGCCAACATCATTTTAGAATTAGAATTTAAGGTTAGAATTAGAATTAAAATTAGGGTTAGAATTAGATGGGCAGGGGAGAGTGGTGGGGGGGCAGGAGAAGAGGCAGCCGGCTAGCCAGTTGGTACCTGCTGATAGATATGTAATAGATCAGAAATGACATTTTACACCCAATAATTTATTGAAGGACACAGATGCAAAAACATCTTCATACCTCTAAATTATACTCCTGAAACAAAAGGGTAACAGTGAGGAGCAGCAAGGACTGTTCTGTTTCAGGGTTTTTATTGGCTTGTTTGTTGTGCCTCCAAGTCAGTTGAGCCCTGGAAATGCAGTTTTCTTGGCAAGGTTTACCACCTTTAAAAGTTTACCACCTTTAAAGCGCTCCATGGCATAGGACCTAGTTATCTTCGAGACCGCCTGCTGCTACCGATGACCTCCCACTGACCTATGCGCTCCCACAGAGAGGGCCTCCTCGGGGTGCCATCAGCCAAACAATGTAGGCTGGTGACTCCCAGGGGGAGGGCCTTCTCTGTGGGGGCACCTACCCTCTGGAATCAGCTGCCCCCTGAGATAAGGAGAATCCAAGACCTCGGTGCCTTCCGCCATGCCCTTAAAACTTTCTTTTTCCAGCAAGCCGGGCTGGCTTAACATATTTTTTAACATATTTTTTAACATATTTTTAATTGGTTTGTTATCTTAAATTGGGGCCAAATTAATATATATCTTTTTAATTGTTTTTAATGTTTGTATTGTATGTTTTTATCTGGCTGTACACCGCCCTGAGTCCCTCGGGAGAAGGTGCGGTATATAAATTCGAAATAAAATAAAATAAATAAATAAAAAAGTTTTTCCAGAGGTGGTTTGCCCTTCCTTCCTTCCTCGGGCTTAGGGAGAGTGACTGGCCCAAGGTGTCTCAATGGGCCATGTGCCCAAGGTGGGGCTGGACTCACAGCTTCCCAGTTTCTAGCCTGTGGTCTTAACCATGCCACCACACTGGCTCTTTTATTTGGCTGTAGCAGCAAATTCCTGTGGTGGAGCTTCAGACGTCATTTGGAGGCGGTCTGGATTGTGGCTTTTGAAAAAATGAAGGCTTGCAGCCTTTTCCTGCCCAGACCAGATTAGGGGCTTCTGGGAATATGCAGCTGTTGTCCAGCAACACCTACCTCCCAATGACTGAACAGGGGCCTGCATCGGTAGCCACTGCTGCCTTTGCGTAGATGTGTTCTTGTGGCTGTGAGCGCAGGCCAAAGAACAGCCCAACACCAATTGCAACAGCCGAGAGCAGCGCCATCAGGATCCCGATCTTCAAGAGCTTCGTGTTCATGTTTCTTGAGAAAGAAAAGGAGAGGCGGATTAGCAGAAGCCCCAGAAAGCAGCCTAGGCAGAAACGAGGACAGTTCACCCCACAGAGGGACATGCAACCCTCCCCGGACAGCCAAGCATTGGGAGAGAGGTCTGGTTGAGGGGTGGGTGAAGCTTCTCGGGATCAATGGCTTCAGTTGCTGCTTTGGTCTCAAATGTCTTGAGGTTTCCTATGTTTTTATTGGATTTCTAGAAATGTGACATTGCTCGGGAGCCCCAGAAGACAGAAACATAACCGGTTATTTCAAATACATAAGCAGATAATGGCTTCATGTTCATTGTTGTCATGAAGGCTGTCTACAAGGTAACAAAGATGGGCCCTGTGAACAAATAGGAATGTTGACCCTATTTCAAATCATGCTCCCCCCCGATCAAATCAGCAATGGATCCCCCTCCTGTAGCCCTCCTGCTCCCCACAGCCCTCCCTCTTCTGTGTCTCACCAGAAAGGAAGACCTCCCAAAGAACCAGGGTAGCCTCAAGTCATGACAAGAACAGATTGTGCCGTCCATTGTGTGGTGCCTCCCGAATGAGGTGCAAGCAGCATGACCCGATGTCAGTACAGACCCCCACCTGCAACCTGAAGTCCAGAGCCTCAGTGCTCTCTTCCCTTATGTGCTGAAGGTGGGGTGAGATGAGCGACAGGAGGTGTGTTCTTGCCAACTTTACCTGCTGTTGTGTGGAGCAACGTCCGGAAGCAAGGCTCCTTCTGATCCCAAAGCAATCTATGGGGATTCCTTCCTTTCCTCCCTTGTGGGATCTCTCTGGAAAGACAAACGCTGAAAGAGCTGGTGAAGATCAAAGGCTCTCAGATGTTGGACGATCTTTCTGCAGAAGGGAGGACAGCTCTTGTGGCAACAGGACAAGCTCAGGGGGGCAGCAGCCCCAGGCCTGGAGAAGCTCCCTGGCAAAAATTCCCTTCCATTGGCTCCTGAAGCCCGAGCCTTCCCACCACCACACAACTGCCCTGGTTGCAGCTCTTCATGGATAAAGCCCTCGCATTCCAACTTGGGGGTCACCAGGTGGGGTCTCCAGCAGCCATGAGGAAGAGTCCATCTTGGACCACCAGGACTCTGAAGTCCACATTTCCTGCTCCCAGCTGCTGCTGCTGCTGCTGTTGCTGCTATTCAAGGCGAGAGCAGCAGGTCCCCACCAGCCCCATCGTTCCCTGATGTGTGTGCCTATAGGGCTTGGCAGGCCTGCTTTCTCCCGGGCCCCGGCTTCCTGCAGCTCCTCCCTTGCAGAGCCTTAGAGTGAGTCAATACTGGAGGGTCATTGACTTGCTGCCCCATCGGCCAACCCTTTCCTCCCTGCCAGATTGGGCTCCTGCTCCTCCTGGTTGGCCTGCAGAGGACGAGGGATCGAGGGACCGGGCCAGGCCGCTGGTCTGTCTCACGCCTCTCTCCTGAGTGGACGGGGAAAGCGCAGCACAACCACCCCATACTTTCAGGAAAAGTGCCGTTTTATTTCACTACCAAATGCTCTATGTGGGACCTGGGCAGCCCTCCTTCAGAAATCCTGGTGTTTGGGCTTAGTAAAAACATCTCAGATTATGTTCTTCATTGATTTGATGTTTGGAAAAATGGATCACAGGACATTTTTCCAAACAGAAGATCGGCTTTTGAACAAAACAGCTTTAGGCATTTGGTTTGTTGTAATGTACTTCAGCAAGCATTCAGTTTCAACTTCAAAGCAAAAGCTACAAATTCTTGCTTTGCAACAGAGAAATAAAGCTAAACTTACGTAGTTATAAAATTTCTAGACCACCAATCACCCTTGCCTGACTCTGCTCTCACTTTGATGAAAGGCTAAATACTAAATACTAAAAATATTTTCTTATGATAGGGTTTGCTACAGTGGTGAAATGTAAAATTTGTTACTACTGGTTCTGTGGGAGTGGCTTGGTGGGGGGTAATGTGACTGCGTTGCCAACTTTTTAAAAAAAACTTTTTTAAAGCATTTTTTTACAACCTATTCGGGCAAATAGGTTGTAAAAAATGCTTTTAAAAGGTTAAAAAAAGGCTTGACGATTGCATGGTACAGCTGTGATCGTCAGAGCCTTTTTTTTTTTAACCTTTTAAAAGCAGGAAGTAACGACACCCCCCTCCCCACCCGCCTCAAGGCTCTCTGGGCCAGGCAGATCCTCCTGAGCTCGTCATCTGTGGGTTTTCCCTGCCTCCTCTTCCACCACCGGTTCTTCTGCTGCCCTCAAAAGCTGTGGGGAAGAAATCCACACCCTCTTCCTTATAACAGCCCTTCCAGTATTGCAAGATTGCCAGTTTCACAAGGCAACTGGAATAAAACGAGTCACTGAATAAATAAGTTGCATTCTGGGATGAGAAGGTACTCATCCTCCGGCATGCCTGGGCGTGAGACGAGCTCATCCTCCCACCAAATGTTCCTCCAGAATGGCTGATTGCATCAGGACCAAAATCCCTGCTAGTCATTTCCACAACCCCTCAGCTTAATTCCCCCCTTGCCTTGGGCAGCCTTCCTTTTCAGAGACTGGGTCACTGGGCCCTGGGCAGAAACAGAGCTCCTGGCGCAGAGACCGGCCTCCCTTCCCGGCCTTTGTGGCTCAGGAAATCCCTCCATGCAAAATGGAAGGCGGAAAACTTGAAGCATTTTCGATGCTGTGATTTCTTTTAAACCCATGAAGGAAATTTCTTGTTAGTTCAAATTCTTCTTTTAATAGAAATCACAGCATTGAGCACCAAGCAAATCTAGTATTCCCCAGCTGATATAATTTAACCTTTTCTTTCATTTAACTTAAACTATTTTGAAAAAGGATATTTCCCTATCACTATGGCTTTATATTGAATCTATAGTAATATTCTTATCTTGTAAATTTTGCTTAACAGATATATATATTATCAGTTGGGTTCAGATTACTGGAAATATGGAAGAAGAGTAGCTAAAAGTTGGTCTTTCAGCCAGAGACTCTTTGAAGTGTGATCTGGACCCTTTGGGAACTCCTATAAACACCTGGCTCACAATTCCTGTCCCTCCCACCTCCGATTTTAGTCTGGGTTGAGAACCTCCTTGTTGTAAGCATTTCATAACATCTGTGGTTTTTCAACCCCCACAATTGTTTGCTTATACACCTTCAACCACATTTCCCAGAAAGCCTAAGAGGAGGGCTCTCCTGTCTGCCCTGTCGGTCCATAATCCCTCAGGTTGGCCAACCAGAACTTGGCATCACATCACCGCCAGAGAAAAGGGAATGAGCAAACCAGGTGAAGAACTGTTTGTGCCCATTGAGGGATGCATCTTGATCCGTTTCCCCAAAAATTTATTGACAATCTTTCTCTGTGTTAAGAGGGTTTGTCGATGTGCTCAACCAAAATGATTTTTGAGCGCAGCAACAAGAAATGTTCTTGATATAGAACTGGTTGGACAATTGCACCCAACAAGTTTACATCACTGGTTCCTTCCAATGATTTGAATTTTCTGGTTTCACATAGTAAACCAAATATGACCTAAGCAAAGTGGCTGGATTTGCACAACACATTAAGCCAACATTTGACCCTGGGCAATGTTGACCAAGTTTAGGACATGCAAATGCAGCCACTGGTCTTTAAGTGTGAATAGAGTGGGAGTCAATGTGGGTTGAGGATAGACCCCCTCAAAGGACTGGACCAATATTAATCTTTCTTCCTCTTCAGAGAAGCAGGACCCAGAGGAGCAAAGGTGGATGCCTGCAGAGAAATTGACTCAGGGCAGAGTTAGTAGGAGGCATTCATCCCACCTTCAAGGATGGCTCTGGGTTCAAGCTTTGGGGCTCTGACTTTGCATCATTCTTAAATAGACACCTTTGCATTGAACTAAATGATGGCAAAGTTGAACAATTTAATTTAATTTAATTTAATTTTAATTTCCAATTTATATACCGCCCTTCTCCCTGAGGACTCAGGGCGGTGTACAGCCACGATAATGTGGTGCCTCCCTCCCAAATAGACGCAAGTTGACTGCAGCACTGAAAATATTGCTCCAGATTTGATGTAGCAGCAGGTGTGCTGATAAATTTTGTTATTTGTTTGATTTTTATGCTGCCTTTATAGGCATGAACATACCCAATATTCCTTGTACCTCCTATTTTCCTCACAACAATAACCCTGTGACGTGGGTTGGGCCAAGAGAGAAGGACTGGCCCAAAGTCACCCAGCCAGCTTTCATGCCTAAGGTAGGACTAGAACTCACCATCTCCTGGTTTGTAGCCTGGTGCCTTAACCAGTAGACAAAACTGACTTATCATCATCATTATTATTATTGTAGCTTTGAAACCAGGATATCTAGCTCAAGAAGGCTGTTTGGAATCAAAGTGGCTTCATTTAACCTCAGGGAAGGTTTTAGCAAATGGGAAGCTCTGATTAGAATGGCCAGCAAAACTATGCCTAGGTTGAGAAAGAACTTGAGGCAATTGGATAAGCTGAGTGGGTTTAACAATGGTCTAGAGATGCTTCTGAAGGACCAAATTTTCCATCTCCCAGCGCAACTGATCTGACCTCCAACTTCCGTTCCTCAGTTGACCTTCCCTGCAAATTTCTTTGTCTTGTTTTACTTGGGAAAAATAAGGGCAAAGGATTGCCACTCCACATCTTCAAATGTTGGGCCCAGTAATTTGGTTTCTGGCTACATCCTTCCCATTCCTTGGTGCTCCTGTTTTTAAAAATGAAAATTGCAAAAAGTTGGCTCTCCCCTTCAAATATAAGAGTCTTTTTCATATGATAAAATTGTGCCTTGCCTGTATCCACTTCGTATTCCATGGCATATGCATAGACTCTTCCATGGTGTTTCCTTCTATTATCTATTTATATCTGCCTATCAATCTCTCATCTGTGTCTTCTGTCCCTCCCACTGTCCCTCGCTCTCTCCCTCCCCTCCCCTCCCCTCCCCTCCCCTCCCGCCTGTCTGTCTGTCTGTCTGTCTGTCTGTCTGTCTGTCTGTCTGTCTATCTATCTATCTATCTATCTATCTATCTATCTATCTATCTATGAGCCGTGGTGGCACAGTGATTATAATGCAGTACTGCAGGCTACTTGATCTACTCCTGATCTCCGCACCTTCCGCTGGGACCTGAAGACTTGGCTGTTCAAGCAAATAGGCTGACTCTGATTCTGGGTTTTAATATTTATTAATTAATTTGGTTTAAAATGGGATTTTGTTGTACATGTTTTTAACTTGTGTTCGCCGCCCTGAGTCCTTCTGGAGAAGGGTGGCATATAAATACATGAAATAAATAAATAAATAAATACTTCTGCTGACAGGTGGCTGCCAGCAGTTCAGCAATTCGATCCTGACCGGCTCAAGGTTGACTCTGCCTTCCATCCTTCCAAGGTTGGTAAAATGAGGACCCAGATAGTTGGGGGCAATATGCTGACTCTGTAAACTGCTTAGAGAGGGCTGAAAAGCACCATGAAGCCGTATATAAGTGCTGTTGCTATTGCTATCATCTACTGTATCAAGCTTTTATTATCTAACATTCTATCATCTGTCATCAATTTATCATCTATCATCTATCCATCTATCATTATCTATCAATCATCTCTATCATCTATCTGTCTGTCTGTCTATTATCAATCAATCATCTATCAGACATCATCTAGCTATCATCTGTCATATCTCCCTCAATCTCTCTCTCTCTTTTATCCAATTTGCAAAGCCATCTGACTTCCAGTTGCAAAACTGTTTTGTTGCCATTTCAATTGCTGAATGCACATGCAAGGCAGAACCCCCCTCCCCCCCCAAAAAGCAGTAAAGCATCAGTGTGATTTGAAGCACCTTCCCCAAATTTTGCAGTGTGGGGGCCGCCACCCTCCCTTACTTGAAGGCTCTGCACCTACGGGAGGGATCTGGCAGGCACTGGTGGGACTGATGGGGTTGGCATTGCTCAGGCCGCTCTCTTCCGGAGAAGACCTGATTGGAGCTTGGAAGTGTCATCTTACCCATCAGCCAGTCTTTCCTGCTGTCCTCTCTTGTTTGAGTAAGAGGGTCCCTCCTAGGATCTCCATATTCCAACTGCCCCCACATAATTCTTCATTTTGGACTGGCCTTGCAGGGGTTCCAACATTGGGCACACATTTACACTGTACAGTGCATAGGTCATGACAACATGGAGGAAGGCAGAGGGGCTTGTCCGCCTCCTCCCCAAAGGGGAACATCTGAAAAAGAAGGCCCTTCACCTGGCCTCTCCTCTCACAGGAATCTGCGCAAAGCAACTTTGGCATCTAAGCCACCTGATGACATCATCGTCAAGCCAGGATCACGTGGAGTATTAGTACCGCTTTATAAAGCCTTAGTTAGACCACACTTCAAATACAGCAGCCAGTTATGATCACCATATTATGAAAAAGATGTTAGGATTCTGGAAAGAGCACAGAGAAGAGGAACAAAGATGATTAGGGAGCTGAAAACTAAAACATATAAAGAACGGTTGCAGGAATTGGGTTTGGCTAGTCTAAAGAAAAGAATAAGGGATGACATGACAGCAGTATTTCAGTATTTGAGGAGCTATCACAAAGAAGAGGGGGTCAAATTATTTCCCAAAGCACCAGAAGGCAAGGCAAGAAACAATGGATAGAATGCCTGATTTGTTATGCAAAAGGGATTGAGAAAGATTGAGAGAAAGACACAAAGAGAGAGGGAGGGAACAAGGCGAAAGATTTATACGATCTGAAGAGAAACCAGACATAATTAAAGAATTGGATGAAGTGTACAGAG